ATTTTGAAAATACCCATTTTTTTTCTTTCCTCACGTGATCGCTGGCTGAACGTGGAATTCTACGTGGCAGGTCTTGTCTACTTCTGGGGGGCCACACTACAGCAGATGGGACGGCTAAGGTGTTGCTAATGCTCCTGGTCTCCTGGACATACCTGCTCTCTGTTGCTTCCTGAACTCTCCTCACCCTCTCGAAGTTTCTCGGTGACACCTCAGTGCCATGCGTTCGTTTTTAGCAACATTTGATGAATGCTTTCAATCTGGAAATCATTTCGTTCCCTTGTGGGGCATTTTCTTGAATTACTGTTTCCCCTGGTCTCTTTCTGGACCTTTGATTCATCAAGTATTAGAAACTTTAATGTCTATATGTTTTCCTCATTTCTCTTTCATATCTTGAAGTTTTTTGTTATACCTTTTGGGGGAATTAGCTCTGCTAGCCACATATTGTGAATATTTTTTATAGTACATCAAATCTTTGTACTGATTGCTTTCATCTAATCCTGAGGATTTTAAAATAGCCTTCCCGTGTCACGTGACAGTTTCATACATGCACACAGTGTAATCTGATCCCTCTCGCACTTCCTCAAGACCCCCAAACATCTCCTTCCCGTCCATTTCACGCTCTACTCTTTTATTTTGATTTGTAACTCACCAAATCCAACTCCTGCTATCTGCTAAAATGTCGCATTATCTTGTTGCTTTGCTCTTCTGTGGGTAACCATAGTTTTAGTAAGTTCATGGCTTCAACAGGCAGGTCATGTCCAGAAAAGAGCATTTCTCAGCACCCCTCCCCATCTTCCTGCTCTGACATTCTTTCCATTCCTTCTTCATTGAAACTACCTGACCCTTGGGGAAGAGTTGCCAGGGATGGTCCTCTGTAGGGCTAAGAGCAACCAACAGCCACGTGTTCCCCATCTTTTGACCAGCTGTGAATTGCACATTAATTGCTGTCCACTACTGAAAGGAGGTCTCTGACCAAGGTTGAGAGTTGTACTAATCTGTGGGCAATGATATTTAGAGGGCAGTTTGGTAGCATGTCCATTTAGCAGCAGGTGTAAGTTTGCCCCACCCCAAGGCCTATGACCTCCTGGGCCTTGGTCTTTTAGCCAGGTTTACAGTACCAGGTGTGAATTCCTTCCTGTGGAATAGGCCTCGAATTCAATAAGAAAGTCGGTGGTTACCCCATAAACTTCATGTCACTGACGCACCAGTGTGTGCACGTCACCTACTAGGTCAGCAGGGTACTATGTAGCATACCCTGCTGGGTACACCTCGGACTTTTCTCGAAACCCCATGGCCTGTGGAATACTTTGTAATACTACAAAAGCTAGCCAGCAGGCAGGAAGGTTTGAGGTCAGTTTCAGCTTGATTTCTTTGTGTTGCAACAAATGTAGTGTGTCTTTAGTAAGAGAATCTTAGAGTCTAGCTACTTAACAAAGGTGGACAAAGAAGAGGAAGGGCAATGGACTGTGTTGTTTGGGGAAGCTTCTGGAGCCGGTATCCCACAGTGAGGACTTTAACATGTATTTTATTTATTATTTCAAAGCACTTCATTAACTGAGAAATAATAATAATAATAATAATAATAATAATAATAAAAATAAATCGAGTGCCTGGTTTGTTAATCATAGTTTCAGTTTATCTGTTGTCCTAGAAATCCATTCATTGGCTTCCTCTTACACCCTTGAGATTGTTTTGGGTGACAAATTTACGTCATATTACCCATCGAGTCTATGATGTACAAAAAACTCTATCCTATGTGCTATACTTATAACAATGCCATCTATACCATAACCCTGCGTAGGAGATTCTGCTACCATCACTTTAAAGACTGGGAAGTGAGGCCTTAAATAGCATGTCTAAACCTCACAGCCAATAGGTGATAGATACCAAGAACTGGGTAAGTGTAAGGGAAGTAACGACAAACGGAAATGCTTCCATGTCTAACAGGGAAGGCGAACATGAAACAAAATGGAGCCCGTCTCGGAAGCAGAGCAGACTCTTGTCTCCGTGATGCCGATGGGCAAGCATGCAGTGCCGTGACACTGATCTGAATCATGCTGCTACCCACACTGCCGCGTGTGAGGCCCTGATGGCTGCAAGGGTACCTCGGCTGTGTTCTCCTTGCTCTCTCTTGGATTCCTCGCTCACTGCTCCCCCTCCATGGTCTCAAGGACCTGCTGGGTGGCTCCCTGGCTTGTGTCAGCGTCTTCCATGCAGTTGGCCCTTGTGTGAGAAACCCTGCTCCCAAGGCTCAGACTTTCTTCCCTCTGTCTAATCTTGGGGTTCTTAGTTCTGGCTGCACAACATAGACAGTAAGGAAGATTTTTATTTTATTTTTTTAATTTATTTATTTCTTTATTAATTAATTAAAGATTTCTGTCTCTTCCCCACCGCCGCCTTCCCTTTCCCTCCCCCTCCCCCCAAGATTTTTATTTTAAACACCCAAGCTCAGATACCTGCATAAATCCGTGGGATCAGCCAACGTAGACTGAAATATTAGTTTGGTGATTCAGCTTCTTTACCAGGAGCCTTATGGTATGTATGTGCTCACTGGCTCTTCTCTTCATTATCCACAGTCTGCCTTCTTGAAAAGCTCAGCTGAGTCCCAGCCCTCTCTAACCACACTTAATTTTGCCTTGTCTGGAGACCCACAATGGGTCTGTACAAGTGAAATGTCTCCTTGTCTCCTAGCTGATCTTGTCACGACTGTTCCTGTCACCTCCCACCCACTTCCCACACAGCACTCCACCTTTCTAAGAGTGACCTTAGCAAAAGGCTACGGATCTCGTTCCTGCCGACTTAACCCCTCCCAGTGTGCTCACGCTGTTTGCAGATTAAAACCCAAATGCTCCAGACAGGTCCACGCGTTTCCAGCAAGTCTATCCCCTGCCTTCCCACTCGCCTGGGACTTCCTGGGATCCAGGCGTGGATTCTAGTTGGATGTGCTTTTCCTGCCTGGTTCAAGTAGCACCAGGGACAGCCCCTGCTCCCATTGCTAGGGGTTGCCCAAATAGACTAAGTTACACAATTGTCACATATATGCAGAGGGCCTAGGTCAGTCCATGCAGGCTCCCTGGTTGTTGGCTCAGACTCTCTGAGTTCCCATGTGGCAGGCTAGCCATTCCTGTGGGTTCATGTGATGTCCCTGACCCCCCCCCCCCGCTCCTACAAATCTATATGAAGCAATAAAAATACAATGATAACGTGGTATAAAGGGAGGTCATGGTGAACACCCTGGACTTGGTCCCTAGGATCCCAAAAATGAAGGAGGAGGAGGAGGAAGAGAAGGAAGAAAGAGAAAAAGAGATAAGAAGGAAGAGAATGGGAAAGGAAGAAAAAATAATACCTAGAACCTCCTAAAAGGTCTTCTGGCCATTGGGTGTATGCCCTAAACTGGATCTGGGGACGTTGGTTCTTTCTTCTCTCTTTCATGAGACTTCCACCATGATAGACAGCTTTGCCTCGATCAACAACTCTAACTGGTCATTACCGGAGCCTTTACAATTCTGAGCCGGGATGGCAGGTGACTGTCTCTCAGGTCTTTGTTATAGTAATGAACACTAACACAGTAGCCACACAGGCAGACCGAGCTTTGTCCTTCCTTCTTCCGTTTATGCTCAGTTTCCCAACTTCATTCACGATCCCCTAAGGGCAAGGATTTTCTTTCATAAACAGTTTGCATCCTTATGACTTGGTGCTATCCACGGAATCATCCCTAAAAATAAAGGTAGCCTTTCCTCTCTAGGAATATTGTTCACAGCTGCAGTGTTTCTCAGACGCTAAGAAAGTGTTTTTATTAGTACATTCACACCTTCCTCACCAGGAGTTGTTAAAGGCGTCCTCGGTGTCCAGTAGCCTCTCTCTGCTAGTTTTCTTTGCGGAGAAACGGTTGAGGCAAGCAATGCTGTTCAAAGGAATTTCTCACATAGAACACGTGTTTTTCATGCACTGTGGTGTGACTCTTCCTGTGTGGCTTGACATGGGAGCAGGAGCTGTGCCAAGTCAGTCACAGATGTTATCCAGGAAGAGCTTCTGGACAGCACCTGATCGACTTTTTAAAATATTGATTTGATTCTATTTTCTGTTTACGAGTGCTTTGCCTGCATGTTTGTATGAGGCCCATGTTCATGCTTGGTGCCCAGAGAACAGAACAGGACATCAAGTCTTCTGCAACCAGTGCTACAGATGGTTGTGAGCCACCGTGCTGTTGGTGCTGGGAACCAAACCCAGGTCCTCTACAAGAGCCGGAAGTACTCATAACTACGAGGCTGTCTTTCCAGCTGCTGTCCAATAGTCTTTTGACAAGAGGGCTTGAAGTCTCTTTCTATATTATATATTTTACATTACTAGAAGAGACAAAACCTGTTTTTGTACGTGCTAATAACTATATCCTTCAAGAATGAAAGCTGGAGAAAACCTTCCCCCATAATTCCATAGAGATGACACTATTATATCTCTAATGTGGCCTTTTCTTCGGGCATCTGGAGTGTGCTCCGTTTAGACAAGAGCCCGGTATTTACTCTTTCGCCATAATTTAACACACCTGGAGCTACACATGTTTAATTTTTGTTAGTGGATACTTTAAGACAACATGAATTCAAACCATTATGTGACTTTAGTAAAATTATGCTTATTAACCAAGGCTACATATTATTGTGGTTTCTAGGCCAACAGCATGAAGTAAGGTCTTTTCAACTACATGTCTGGGTTTTCCCACAGAAAGCATACGTACAGACTGGCATCTCTTTCCCTCTCTGTAATCTAGTACATTCTTTACTATGTTACTTTGCTTTGTCCCTTTCCCTAACTAGGCTGGCAGAAAGTAAAATTTATGTTGTTCATTAGAAATAAAAATTTGTGGTTTTTTTTCCTGTCACACAAATCTACATGAAGCAATAAAAATACAGTGATAACGTGATTTTTGAGACTGGGAAAATAAGCCGTCCCTAACTTAGGAAGTAATCCCGTTACCCATTTAAAATACATCCTCGTGTACTTACCATGGGTTTTGATAACGGTGGGTTACTTTGTCATTTGCATCAAGACTTAGCTCCCCAAGCTGCAAAAGGAGAAAAACTAATTCAGGGTTATTCTTTGGTAGACAGGGACCCACGTGTCTGAAGTCTGAGCATCTATATTCCTCCCCTAAGGGGAGTCAGGCTAGAAAATGGAGTAGGGATGCTACATTCAGATAAAAGAAAATCAGTGGGTGCTACCCACTGGGGTCGCTTGCCCTGGAGCAGGGAAGACAAACCATTATGGTGAGCCAATATGTGGTAGGGTGTGGGAGGGGGGCAGAATGGTTCATGTCCTGTGGGGAGAGGCAGATCTGAAGAGGTGAAGGGGTGAAGAACAGGCTAATGTAGGAGGTCTGCTTGTCACCCTGGGCCATGGTGACGTCCAGGCCTAGACATGGGTCTGTGGCCCCTCTGCAGCCAGGGTCTGTGTTACCACCAAAGGCTGCAAGGATGCTGGGGTTCTGGGCCACCACATGACCCTGTTGGGGTCTGAGGGACGTGCTGCTTCAGGGCCATGCTGATCTGAGTGACCAGTGCTGCCATTCAGGGCCATGGAAGTGTCTGGGCCTGAGCTGCAGTGGAGGGCCAAGTCTGGGCCTGTGCCTCTATTGCAGCCAGGGCATGGGATGATGTCCATGGCTCCTGTTACCACAAAAGGCTGTTCAGATGCCCGGGGTCTGGGCTGACACCCGAGGCCATGTTGGTGCCTGAGGGTCAGACTGTTGCCAGGGCCCTACAAATCAGGGTGGCCTGTGCTGCCACCTGGGGCCATAGTGACATCAGGGCCCACGCTGCAGCCAGGGGTTTTGTGTCTGGGTCCATAGTCCTGCCACAGCCAGCATCTGTATTGATATCCACGGCTCCTGTTACCATTGAGGGCTGTGCAGCTGCCCAGGATCTGGGCCAACACCCAGGGCCAATTTGGAGTTCAGGGACAACATTGTTGTTGAGGCCATTTGGATCTGTGAGGCCTGAGGTGCCAGCCAGGGCCATGGAGACAAGTAGGCTCAAGCTGCTGCTGGTGGCCATGTCATGGTCCTGATGCCGCTGGGCAGCTGGGATCTGTTGATGTCTATGGTCCATGTTGCCTTCAGGGCTCATGCAAACCAAGTGTTGAACAATGTCTTGAAATCCTAGGGCTGTGCTGAACTGGTCCCGCTCCCCACCATGGAAGAGAGAGCTGGCTCTGCCCCTCAGAGGGCAGTGGTCCCAACACCCAACTGAGCAGCTCAGCTACCGTCCAGACACACATCCAGGACTTGGTGTTGGCACTCTCCAACATCTGTCCTCTCTATGTCCTGCTGCAGCCCATGTAGGGATTGGTCCTGGGGAATCATCGCTGCAGGATCTCCATGACTGGGGCAACAGAAGGACAACTGAGGCGATTCAGTGAGGGTCTAGGATTATCGGTACACCAGAAGCCAGTGGCCTTGAACCAGACACATTATACAACGAACATTTGCAAGTAAAGCTGTTTGGACAAAGGGGAATAGGGCATGATACACAGAGCTCCCAGGGCTACCGAGATGAATGAAGAGGTGATGGAGGGGCGGGGAAGACGGGAGAGCGAAGTGGTTTTTGTTTTGTTTTTGCTTGTTTAATATTCTTATTTGTATTTTTAAATGTTTATTATTTCAAGTTTTCCTTGGCATGGGGTGGGTGGGGGATGCAAGAGTGAAGGGCGGATACTGAGCGACTGGGAAATGAGTGCGATTTGGGTGCATGGTGTGAAATTCCCAGAGAATAAAAAAAAGTTATGTTTTAAAAATTTAAAAAAGAAAATCAGCGGAGATGATCACTGTTGCTTCCTGGCCTGAGAGGAAACAGTCACCACGAGCTCCACCCCCTCTGTGGGAATGCAAAGGGCTGAGGAAGACTGGGGGACTGGCCAGGCTGCCTGGCTACTCCGTGGCTGACTCTGTTAGGAAGCAGCACTGTGGGCTGTCAGTCATCACTTAAGTGGGCACTTGAGAGATCTGCAGAGTTAGCCAAGGCGTCAGCGGAGTAGGGAAGAGCTGGCATTAGAGGCCTGGGGCAGATCTGAAAGCTCCTGGATAGTTGAGAATCTATGTGGTAGCTAAATATCAGTTTCACATTTAAAGAAAAAGAGAGAGAAAGCATGAAATCCCACACCCTCCCGTGTACGCTTGAATGTTGTATTATTCCTGAATGAATGCTCTCTGTGTTCCAGTTCCTTTCCCCATCTTAGAAAGAAGCTGGGAAACAGGGGTGTCGTGTTCATATCCAGAGGGCTTGAGGACTATAATCACTTCTCAGTTTTCTGGGCTAGGTTGAAAATTACAACATGAAAACATAAAAAAGTATTTCGCTTCTGCTTCGGAATGCATTTTAAAAATTTATATTGACAGGAGGTGTGCCAGATTTATAACAGCTCAAAAAATAGCAATAACCATGAACGTTCAGCAGCAATTGGCAACCCCAGATGCTCTCACATCCTCCCCTCTTCCTCTTGCCCAGGCTTTGCTCAGAACGGCTTTGCTGCCAGCCTGCCTAATAGTTGTTTCTTCTCTATTTCCTTAATCTACCTGCTTGCTCAGGTGACCCAAAATGGCAGTCTTGACCCCCATACAGAAAGCAACAAAGGAAGGGGTCGGTTAAGAGTTTAATGCAGAGCTGGCCATTAGTCAACAGGCAATGCAGAAGTAGTGATCTCTGAACAATGGAAAGGTCATGGTATCGTTTGATCCCTAGCGTCCAATTCCCTGAAAACCAGTTGACACACTAATTCAAAAATAAGTTTACTATTTTCTTTGGATGCTCTTCTTTGATCTTTTGCTACTCAAGATTTAATAACAAAAGCATGACATCTTCGTGTCAGAAATGCTAAGAAGTCTTTGCTTCTCTTAGAGTTACAGGGTTCATGACAAAAACCTTGTTATTGCCAGGCAGTGGTGGCACATGTTTTTAATACCAGCACTCAGGAGGCAGAGGCAGGTGGATCTCTGTGAGTTCGAAGTCAGCCTGGTCTACAAGAGCTAGTTTCAGGACAGGCTCCAAAGCTACAGTGAAACCCTGTCTCAAAAAACAAAACGCACGCGCGCGCACACACACACTTACACACACAAACTTGTTATCGTAAATACACTCACCCTTTTGTGTTTTAATTTATTAACAAACACACTGTGACTTATTTGAGTAGCCATGCTCACCAAAGTGCTAAACCTAATGAATTCACAATCATATAAACATTTATATTGGCCCATTATTCATAATAAGGAAAATATTGATCTAGAGATTAGTCCCCTGTGGATGTCACTCAAGAGTAGAGCACTTGCCTGATAGACACAAGGCCCTACATTTTATCCCGGAACTACAGATAAATAAACAAAATTCTAACATTTTCATACAATCCACAAATAACATAATGTTTTGGGGGGAAATTCTTATATATTAAAATTTTCAGTTAACAATTATAATTATAGGTCAAAATTAAACATTTCCACTGAAACCATGTTTCAGCAAGTCTAGGGATTAATAAAAAGGAAATGCAATCTAGCCACTGTGAGCTAAACGCATGTTTTGGAGAAGACTGCGTTAAACTAATTGCATATGTCCGGGGCTAGTTCTAGGGACAAGGCCACTTCCCCTTCTATTTCCCACCCACCTCTAGTGCAGCCCTGCCGTGCTCAGGTGACCTGTGGGACTGTTTTCCAGAGAAATCCTTGCTTTGTTGGATATTCTACAATGCTTTTCCGAGGGTATCTGATGGAGCTTTCCTTACTGGAAGGGCCGGTGTTACCCATTTCTGTCGCTAGGGGCTTTCTTACCAGTAGACGGGATGCAATGCAATGTATTTTGAGAATGTGTACACACTAAGGTTTTCTTCCCCAGCCTCCTTCTTGGTAACACTGGGCTCTCAGTCCCCCACAGTACCCCCTCCGGCGATCTTTTGTTATGCTAATGTGTTTGTTCTCTACTTGCCTCAATTTGCAAAATATTACTGTTAACCCCTTAGGTGTCTTTCTTCCCACAGCCTGTGATAAGCACCCGCATTGTTGTGGCTGAGCCACCAAACTGCATAATGTTGCCTATTTTAGGCTGGAATTATTGAATCAAGTAGGGCATAAAGGCCTTTGCAAGAACGGGGCATCTGAAGTATTCATTATATATTCAGTGCAAGGGTTGAAACAAAACAGTTCTTTCTGGAAAATGTCAGTGGTTAAGGCTTAGCCTCTGTGATGCACTATTCTTGTAAAGAGAAAGAGCGATGCAGAGACCCACATTGCATTCTGTGCCCCGTCACAGATGAACCTGAATGTTTCTGCCATTGTTGTTTGACTGCAACATTTCAAATAATTTGAACCAATTAATCAACTTTAAGCACGCAGTAAACACTAGGCTTTGTGAGTTTGTTAGCTTTAGAGCCGGAATTGCTGCTTCCTGGTGTGTATCCAAGTGGTGTGCAAATTCTATCACGGCACTACCCTGCCTATAGCCCTGCGGTTGGAAAAGATGGGCAGATAGAAACATGAAAGCCCCTGGATGGCATTTGCTGAGCCCTGCTGTGTGAAACACTACGCCAGCACTATGCACACATACCTCACGCAATACAGAGAACAAAACTCCGAGGGTTTCCTATTAACCCTGTGGTAGGCAGAGCTCCAATGGCCCCTGAATTCTCATTTCCTGGTAAACGCTGCTTTCTTCCAGATATTCCATCAAATATCTACACACAGGGTGTCACTGATGGGGGATTTTGTAAGCATAATCAAGACCCTAAAAACTTTGAATTTAAGAAGGATTTGCCCAGTGTGGTGGGCATAGGCTTGTAGTCCCAGTTACTTGGGAGGCTGAGGCAGGAGAATCATAATTTCTACTTCTGCCTAGGCTACAGGGTGAGTTCAAGGATAGTCTAATCAACTTAGCGAGGCTTCGTAGCTGTGTTGTGGAGTGCTTGCCTAGCATCATGCACAAGGCTGTATTACACACACACAAACACACACACACACACACACACACAGAGAGAGAGAGAGAGAGAGAGAGAGAGAGAGAGAGAGAGAGAGATTTAGCCTTAGTGAGC